AGAGACCTGGGGCTGCCTGGCAGAGACCTGGGGCTGCCTGGCAGGGAGAGAAAAGAGGCGGTCAGAGTGGGAAAGCTCAGCTCTTCCTGACACCGACACACCGGGGAGAAAAGGCAGCAGGAGGAGCAGCTGCCCCGGTGACAACTGCCCCCAGCACCTTGTCACGCGTGTCTGGGTTGCTGGTCTCTGCACGATGCCAGAACACACACCCCCCTACCTGCTGGTGTCCCCCCTGCTCGGCCCCTGCATGTGGGTGCTGCCAGGCAGCGTTTCAGGGCAACCACCACAACATTGGAAAGAGATGTCACCTTGCTGGGGACTCTCCCAAGTGCTGTGTCCGTGTGTCCTCCCCTTGCAGCAGAGGAGCACGGCTCCTGGGAACCAGCCACAGCTGGAAGGAAGAAAACAAAGACCACTCCCTCTCCCAAACTAGCTTAATTAGGAAATTAGCCTGTTAATGAATGACCAGAACTATAAAACTGCTATAAGCAACATTACCCAAACAGCAATCAGGATCTCAAAGGGGGTCTCTACAGAAGCTGCAGTAAGTAGTGCTTTTTAGTCTGTCCTCTTAGCATGTGCTTTTTACATTTATCACTTTACTTACATTAAGTCATCTTTAAGGAAAGACGTACTTTAATCTCCTAGGCTGGCTATACAGCCTCCCTTTGCAGCCCTCAGGAGCTTTTTCTTTCTGTGGGTGAGGGTATCATGTGTGGGACTAAAGGTGAGATGAGAGCTGCTCCTCAGCATTGCCCATCCTAACCAGATCCTGGCTTTAGTGCCTCTATCTCACCTCTAACTGGCATTAGTGGCCTTCTGACTCAAGGAACAAGGATGAAGTGTTTTGTGCCTCCAGGAAAACCAGCTCCCTCTTAGTACCACTAGCGCTGGAGAGGTTTACCAAGACTCTACTACACCCAGCACAAAGAGTAGTGGTATGCAGGGTAAGGCTTAATAAATACAACTTTAGGGAGGATCTATGATGACCTCCAAGAAGAGGCCTTGATGCAACTGTGTTGCTCTAGAAGACAATGACAGGCTGGATGGCCACCTACTTGTCCTGGATCCCACTCAGCTCCTTGCTTTTCTAAGACTGAGACAAGACTGTGTAGAGAGCAGTCCTGCTACTCTAAGTTTGCAACTCATTAGCACACTCAGCTCCTTGCTTTTCTAAGACTGAGACTAGACTGCTACTCTAAGTTTGCAACTCATTAGCGAACAGTAATGAACAATAATATGTTTATTCTAACAGGAACATCGTGGTCTCCATAAGCCTGACAGGGGTGGGATTCTGCACCATGCTGTCCACCAAGAGGCATGGCACCAGCACCTTGACCATAAAGGAAATCCTGGAAAATGGGTTTGTGGCCGGGACCTCCAGCCATGCTGCTTCTTGTCCTGTCCACAGCTACTACACAGACCCCAGCAGTGCCTCCAAACCAGACACCTGGGAGCTTCCCATGGACTTGGACAATGCAACAAAAGGCAGTTCCCTGTGTGTATTCAAGCAGTCAGAGTCCCTGAGCAGCTCCATTAAGACAGACCTGCACAGCCTGACCCAGGGCATCTCTGACCTCAGCCTTGTTTGCTTCTGCAAGACTCACCATGGCCAGGCCATCTTTGACCTGTCTGGTCTCCCCTGTGAGCACCTCAGCAGAGCCAGCTGCCTGATGGACCTGGCATCACAGAACACCTCCCTGCCATGCAAGGAAGAGAAGCACCCCCAGCTGCTGGAGAGCCTGTTCTCCAAGAGCACTGAGCTCACCTGTGACCCCTCAAGCCTTGGCAAGACTTCAGCATCCAGGTGGGAGATCTCAGCAATAAAAGCCTGTCCCTTGATGTGAGCACCGAGGAGCTGAGGTTACTGGGATGCTCCAGACAGGACACTGCATCCCTGGAGACATCTCTATTAATTCCTTTGGCTTGGCCTGGAGCCTTCAAGAGACTGACCCAGGGGTCTGGCACTGCTGAGACCCAGCTGAGCGATCCTGACCCTGTCCCACTGTCCCTGCACCAGGCTCCGTGAGCTGCTGCCCTGGCTCCAGGGCGGGCTGTGGGGTCCCAGCCTGACAACATCCACCCTGAAGATGATCACAGACGAACCCTCCTGCCCTGAGCCAGGGGCTGGCCTGCT